ATGGGAAAAGTAAACATGGCAAGAAATGGCCTAGTGCTGAAATAGGCACCCAGAACAGAACCTTTTTTTTTCCTGCTTGTTTACCTTACAAGTGGGGACAGGTATCATGGTACACCATGATACTTACACATGATCACTCACTCTATGTTCCATAGTCAATAGCATAGACTCTTTTTAACTTTGTACATTTTTACAGGTATGTTATTACTATGATACATACAGGACAATTACAATACATTTTTGTTTTACAGCCTTGTCAACACACCACATTTTGAATAGCAGTCCATGAACATAACAGCCAAATCACCTTGCAAGTTTTTTGGTGATGCAGGGTTGTGCAATTCCAGCAACCCATAGAAGATGATGACAGCTCCTTTGCATCTACATCTCCAGAAAACTATGGATACAGGACACATTTGAATGCATTTGATAAGCAATGTTCACAAGCAAACTTTGTACCTATGCCTTTGAAAACTATAGACACAGGACATGTTTGAATAGGTTTGAGAAACAACATCCAAATTCCCAACCTTCTTGAGCAGCATGGCTAACTGCAATCAGTGAGAGGTTTTTTGAGTATGTCTCTTTTTCTGCAGCTAACTCTTATCTTTCATGTAAAGTATCAATGGTTTCACAAAATAATAGTCCTGCATATATTAGTTATGACCAATGTTCAAGAGACCTTTTGGTGAGAAGATGGTGTGAGGTAGACATGCTTAGTCAAATGAAAGATATCCCAAGGCCTTCAAAAAGACTTTGGGTTATCATAGGCAATATTGTAGAGACCCTGACATATTGTGCCATAGGGCTTATTCTGCAACTTCTTTCTATTGCCAGTGCATATATTAGTCCTAGTCCTACAGACATGATATCATTGCGGAGTTCTTGGATGACAGACAATATCATAAGGTATCTGGGGGCAATTGTAATACTCAAAAAGCAGGTCTTTCTCACTCAGGCCCTACCAGGGATCGAACCTGGGTCTCGAGAAAGGTCTATCAGAATCTCGAGTGATAACCACTACACTATAGAGCCTTACTCCAGGCGATACTTGTAGAATACAGGTAGTGCGTCTTAGTACGACCGGTCTTTGATCGTGACCTCGGCGCGCCTTGCCGAGCCGGGTTCATAGATCTGGTCGGACGGCACGAGTTTGAAATGTCTTATACGACGCGATCTCCAATGCCACCGAAGCAACTTCTCAATTTCCCTTCTCACCAACATGCGTATCACTCCATTTCTACGCCAAAATGCCCAGTCCGTCTCTGCTGCGCTCCGTGAGCGCGTTCGTCGACCTGCACTGTTGAGCAAGCTTGCACAGCCCACAGACCTCGTGCCTTTATTCAAGGTATGTGTCTTATCTACTTTAAGTATCTCTGAATGTTGATGGGCATGGGAATCTCTGTAGAACGATGATTATGTACGTCGATGCTTCCATCGTTACTCGCAATCGAATAGTCTAAACAATGTACATCGTCCCTCCAGATTGGCTGGTCAGGGTTTACGGGCGTCGGATACCCGAAGTCAGTGCCTACGGTACGTTCCATGCCATCCCCATGAGCATCGTATCATATTCATCCATATTCATCCATCTGCAGGCTATAGCAGATTATGTCGAGGCAAACAACCTGCAGGCAGACCCTGATACTAAAAAGAAATTCAATCTCTTTGTCGGGGCGTCTGTTGGCCCCGAGGTCGAGGACCGCTGGGCACGATTGGACATGTAAGTTGCATCCCCTTTCTCAGAGTTCTCACAATACTAATCTGCCCCTTAGGATTGCACGCCGCTATCCCCACCAGGTCGGCAAGGACATAGCAAAAGGTATCAACGCAGGTCGCATCGAGTTCGCAGACAAGCACCTTTCCAGTTCGTAGCTATCTCTGCCTGGCATGGCATCTTATGTTCTTGAACCAATCTTTCCGCGTTTGTAGTGTTTCCACAAGACCTGACATATGGTTACTACAATCTCCGGAAGAACCATGGAGACCCACGTAAGCCTCTGGATTGGGCCATTGTAGAGGCCACGTGCATCACCGAGGATGGAAAAATCGTCCCAGGCGCTTCGGTCGGTGCAACGCCGGAGATTCTGCAGAGCGCAGAGAAGATCATTGTTGAGGTTAACACGCTCATTCCGAACCTCGAGGGGTTGCATGATATCAATCAGTCTTTCGTGCCACCCTATCGTCAGCCCTACGTATGTCTTTTCTCCATTTTTTCTTTGCGTTTTTTCTGATCCCAACCCGTGGGTAGTTGATCAAACACGTCAAAGACCGCATTGGAGAGTCCGCCATCGCCATCGACACAGATCGTATTCTCGCGATCGTCGAATCTCGACACCCTGATAACACGGGACCCAACTCCCCGGAGGTATGCCTAATTCTAATCATACTTATAACCTTATCTCCCTGACTCGTGTTATACATAGAACGACGAATCTCGGGCTATCGCTGGGCATCTCATCGAGTTTCTCTCGGAAGAAGTTGCTGCTGGCCGTCTTCCAAAGAATCTTCTCCCTCTTCAATCGGGTATCGGCAACGTTGCGAACTCAATCATCGGCGGTCTCGCAGAGGGTCCGTTCGAGCAGGTGCAAGTATGGACTGAGGTGTTACAGGGTGAGACAGACACACTTTGGTCGTGAATGAAGAGCTGATATGGGGGTTTCAATAAAGACACCTTCATTCGGTTCTTCGACTCTGGAAAGCTGTCGTTCGCGACTGCGACCAGCATCAAGTTCTCTCCCGAAGGGTGCGTACACTCCTCCTCCTACCCTGTTCCACATTAACACTTGAATTGCATCCTAGATTCGACCACTTCTACTCCAGTGGGTCTCCTCCCTCCATCATACACACACACTATCATGTCTGATTAACAACCTCTCAATTCAGACTGGTCAAAATACAAAAACCGACTCCTCCTGCGCTCTCAACAAGTCGCTAACTCTCCCGAGATCATCCGCCGTCTCGGTATTATCGCGATGAACACCCCGCTTGAAGTTGATATCGTACATCTCTTTCCCTCTCTCCTTTTTCTTCCCATCACTAACTGTTACATAGTACGCCCACGCGAACTCGACCAACGCCCTCGGCTCAAGGATGCTCAATGGTCTCGGTGGCTCAGCCGACTTCTTGAGGAACGCCAAGCTCTCCATTATGCATACACCCTCTAGGTCCTTTCCTATATTTCCGATACGATAGTATACATATTCTAACATTACACACCTCTACCAGCCGCCCCACCAAGACCGATCCCACAGGCATCTCGTGCATCGTCCCCTTTGCGTCGCACGTCGATCAGACCGGTGTGTTACCTGCCTTTTTTTTTCTTTTCTACAAGTCTTCGCAGTGAGACTTACGATCTGCGCCCATTGCATAGAACATGACCTCGATGTCGTCGTGACCGAACAAGGTCTCGCCGATCTCCGTGGTCTTTCTCCACGCGAGCGTGCCCCAATCATCATCGAGAAGTGCGCACACCCCGATTACAAGGACTCGCTGCGCGAGGTACGTCTCACCTGTCGTCGCGTGTATGCTTTTTTAATCCGTGCTTTAATTTTGATTGGTATTGTGTCTGTACAGTACTACGACCGTGCGTTGCACGAGTGCCTGAAGCGTGGTGCGGCTCATGAGCCCCATATTCTGAGAAATGCGTTTAAGGTGCGCTTTCCATACTCTTATCTGGCCTTTGTACGTGTCTAATTCCCGGTTGCAGTTTCACACAAACTTCATGGAGCATGGAACGATGAAGATTAAAAACTGGGATTGAGAAGTAAATGTATGGAACTCCCAGATATCCAGAATCGAACGTATAGAACGAATTGACTTGTATATCCTCTATGTATTTTACATAAAACGAGTAACAGCCGTTTTGAAAATAGCTATGACAATCATCATACTGTTCTTCAATTGTAAGACCACATCGCGTAAAGCTGATAGTGGATATCGTATTGGTGAACAACACCGGGAGCCGAGGTACACAATAAGCAGGTATATTCACAAGTCATGAGCAAGATCATATAGGCTGTTTGAAAACATATAATATTAATTCCCGCTACTTTAGTAGTGGGTTTTGTGGGTACGAGATGATCACGTGAACCTTCCCCTTTTCCTTTCTTTCCATGTTGGCCCTCTTTCCAGCCCTTTTCTGCCCCAGGCTTGCACCCTGTCGCTCCTTTACATACAGTCTTTCAGACGTTCATTCCATTACCCTTCCTTCTTCCCTGTTCCTCACCGGCATGAGCTTCTACAGCACGTTCGCGATTTCTGGTGAATTCCTTTGCGCTTAGTCCCACTCCCATTGATTTCTTTTTACTTCCACGCGGTCTGTCCCACTACAGCTACAAAGACCTCATCCCCGCCCTCAAGAGCATGAGTCTATATTGTAAACGGCGTTAACATAGGCCGAGAGAAGGAGGGGAGACGTCTCGAGTTCTATCTGAATGAGCATGGTGGAGTGGTTGCAGACAGACACTGATGTAGCGGAGCTTCATGTGACGACACGCTGGTGGACTTTGACAGAGGTTCCATGCGCCGATAGAACAAGATTGCCATCCGTGAAACTGCAAAGGCACGATGCTCCTGCTGGATAACAAACCCTGCAGGACTTCGTGAGTGTATTCAGTGTGCATGCACTGAGTAATGGCAAGGCTATATATGGAAAAGTAAATGTTCTTTGAGAGAAGGGTAGTGAATGACAGGGAAATAGGAGTGCAACAATGTAACAGCGTGTGGAATGCCACTGGGTGGTGGCAGCAATAAAAAAGTGTATGAAGGGTAGAGTTGTGAGTAGTGAGCACTGCGTCCGGAGGGCGCCCGTTGGGATCATGTAAAACATACTGTGGCATCGGCTAGGAAAGGCCAGCGTGGCGAAGGGCCCTGATGGTCACGAGGACATGTCAGCTTGTCATTTCCAACAACATCTTACCAATTTTAGTACACTTTTCCTTCCGCTCCACGAGCATGCCTTGAGGCTTTCAGTACTTAGCCCAATATAGTGACGATTATCTAGGGCATATTGATTTTCATAACTGCTGCATTATTTAATATTCATTCTTGCCCATTTTTGATCGACTCAGGCTGGTAGACGGCGGCCAGTGCAGTCTGAGCTGATGCACGATATCCTGTTCACCCCTCCAGATTCTTAAGGATTAAATGCGCACAGCACAGTCGGACCCGCTGCTGTCAAAGAAGATATCAATATCACAGCATTGCGGATGACAGATTCCAGAAGGTGTAGCGGCTAAGTCCGGGCGCATAAATTCAAAACCGCAGCAGATGCACGCCTTCATACCTACTACCAACCTTGCCCTACATGACTACCAGAGGACAACGAGGTGGCAGAGACGGGCCAGGCGAACCTTCAGGAAGGGGGAGTCCATCCTCTTTCCGTGGTGGCTCTTCTGGTAGAGGCCAAGCAAGCTACCGTGGCGGCGGCCCAGGAATCTACGCCGAGAACTCTCTTGCTAATATACCTCCTCGCCTTGACGATGCTAGTCATAATTCTCTCGTGCAAGCGTTCAAGTCCTTGAAAGTCATCCCCGATAGGCCTCTGCGTCCTGGATTTGGAACGCTAGGCACTCCCATCACATTGAGGGCTAACTTCTTCCCTTTGAAGCTTCCTAAGGGCCCTATCTATGACTATGTTGTGGAGGTCAGCCCCAAGACGGATATCAATCGCATTAAAACACGTATCTTTGAGCTCATGGAACGAAACCCTGCATGTACCTCGCACATTCCATACATAGCTCATGATCGCAGCCAGAGATTGGTCTCGGCGAAGAAGTTACCTCAACCGATGAATATACAGGTGCCTTTCTTCGAAGACCCCGACACATCCCCGAGACCAGGGGCAAAAGTTTACATCGTCAGTATCAGGTTCGAACGAGAGCTCAACCCAGCTCAGTTGATAGAGTATGGTCTTCAACTTCCATTTATTCCATCTAACTCCCTTCGCCAGTTTCATGAGCGGAAAGAAGGAATCGAGGGATTATGATCCACTTCCTCTGGTATCTGCCCTCAATCTCGTATTTCAACAACAT